CTCTGGTCCATTCACCCTGGCCAAGGTCACTGATAACACAACCTACTGACCTCGTCACCGCCAACGTGATAGTAGGCCTACACTGTGACGTCACGACAATGACGTAGTTTGCGTGTAGATCAATGTGTGTAGCTAATTTAGAGGTTGTTGCAATTTAGTATTTTCATATTTTGATATTTCATTACAAGTTAAAACTGGAAAGTAAATCAACAAAATTGTTTGCATTCTTATATGGATAAGTTAGTTGTTTAAATTAATACAAATTGTAAATTTCAGAAGAGTGGTCACAAATAATTTAAGTTTTTATTTTTTCTCCTCAAAGAGTATTTGACGTGGTGTCGAGAATTCATGTGTGTCGACGGAGAATTTTAGGACTTAACAAAAATGTCACGTTAAAGAAAGATCTAAAAGTTTAAAAAACCAGAACGAAATCCTAATATTCCTAAAACCCCTAAAAAGGGCGTTACTAAAGCATATTTCAACCCATACATGAATATAATTGTGCAAAAGTACACAAATATGAGTGTGGGATAAGGGTTTAAGTATTTTATTCACTAAGACCAGCGCTTTTTAGAGAATACTAAATACTAAGGAGTAAGGGCAGTTAAATAAAATTGATTTCAGTCTTAAAAGTAGACGTTGAAAAATTCTATGCTACGTAAACATCACCTTTGGTAACAAAAAAACTACAATTCATACAAGGAAGTTCCCAAACAACATGATGTACGATTATCTAAAGTCTCTTTTTGAAAACCATTGTTGAAACACAGTTTCATCATTTACCAGCGAAAGTTGCCATCGCAATCGTCCCAGTAGGGGTTTGCTTATTGCTTGTTACTTTCGACCTTCCTGGTAGATCGATAAATATAATCCAAAACGGGCAGCGGCGCCGGGGTGATCGTTATCAAATCAGCTGTTCCGTATCATATGGTCTGTGTTTGGGCCGTCCTGACGGTCCTGACTTGTTTTAAACATATTGTCTTAGATGTACCATCCATCGTCCTTATGCTAGTTTGCTAGAGACAGATTTGAGGTTATGTATAGGACTTGGAACTATCTTTAAACCAAATACCGTAGAAAAAACTTGAGCATTGCTTTTCTTTTGGAATCATAGTAGAACCTTGATAACAAGACTCATTGGATTATCAAAGACTTGTTATCAAGGTTGACTTCTTATCGAGGTTTGCATATCTGACAGGTAAAATAAATTCAAGGGGTTTGAAAATTATACTTGTTATCAAGGGTGACTTGTTATCGAGGGTCTTCTCATTGAGGTTCCACCGTATATATAAAGTCAATTATTAGATTTGCATTATTGCCTTGGAATTATATTTTGACAATTTTCTTATTACTGTATCCTACCTAAGTTGAATGTAAAATCATTTTAATATCCTTACACATTCTTGAATAATTCTCATTATACATTATTTTTGTTGCTTGACACCTTATAAATTTTATAAGTCCACTCAAATACAGCTAAGGTCGGAAGGGCATTTAAGCTACATAAAATATAAACAAACTTAAAAGTCTCTACAAAATAAAACTTGTAATCTATATAAACTCCAATATTGAATATTCAATTTAAGTTCATCTATTTCTAGCTTACAACCACAATCTGACATCTTCTATGGTAACATTTCAATTTTGTTCAATAAATTTTTTCGTTACCTCCAAATCCTACTTTCCTTTACATTATTTCTCTTTAGTTCGCCTCATCTGTTCCTCCATCCACCTCTGTCCATTTCCAATGTTCCCAGTCCACTATCGCCACCCAGATCAGCTGTTTTCATCTCACATGTTTCAACCTCTTTGTTTGGGCGTATTTCTAACATGTGACCCATATTATGCATGTGACTCCTCATGGTTCCTAATCAGCTGTTTTGTTTGCTACTTCTGTTCTTCTGTCATTTGGATATACCGTTTTGTAACAGGGTTTCATCATTGTGCTTCTGTTGTTTAGTGATAGTTTTCGGTCGTGTTTTGTTTAGTTGTTTAGCTGCTTTAGGAGCCTTTTTTGTACGAAATTCTCAATAGGTCAGCAAATATTGAATAGTAAGCCTATGAACTTGAAAAAATGGTTACTATTCATAAATGCTATCTTAGTGCGTTTGTGCAATTGTGAAATATTTTATTGTTCTTGTCAATGATTTTATTTGACAAAATAAACTGGGGGTTTTAGAATATTGACCATGTGACAAGAAAATAATGTATGCTAAAATCACTATCAGAATAAACAATGTTTTTAGAAGAGGAGATTGAAACAATATTGGTCCTGTCACAAAAATTTGTATACATCAAAAGAGTCAAACACGTAATTTGTGTGCACTTAAACATATACCAGACTAATCTGTAGTATTTAGTACATTTACCAATTATCATTCCAACTTTCATTTCATTATGGACCAAAATTCCCAAGATCACTGACAAATAAAATTGTAACGTAATCAGAAAAAGGGAACCAAAGAGACCAAAGTCCCTAAAATAACACCTCGAAACAGAGAGGCAAAACGAGCAAGTTGAGTGTTTGAAGGAGAAATTATTAAAGTGGGCCCAGCATTCAAGGAGCTTCTATTTGCCCAGAGGCTCAAGACTCTATCCCCTCGCTGCTGCATATGTATAGAACAAATCAAAATATTTAACCATCCCATGGATGAACCAACACTTTCCGACTTTTGAATCTTGTTGCCAGGCTTAAGGGAGATTGTTTGGGTTTCTTTGAATCTCAATGTGAGTCGTGCATTTGAACTCCCTTGCTTGTGAGATTCCAGAATCGAATTACTGTGTATAAATGGTATGTTTAATTTGTCGAATTTTATATTAGTTTGATGGACAAATTGAAGTATCAACTAATTGTTGTATGTGTTTTCATTATGAGGAACACACGAGTAGCCTACTTCTCTTCTAATTTTTGTGTCTTGCCATCATCAATCACAAAACTAAATAAAATTGGCAATTGGTCAGATTCGAACCCGGGATTCTCTAACCAATTTACCATTGTTGTGCACCATATTCAAGTAATCTGAAAAACCTCCAGGATGCTTAAAAATGCCTTTCGTTGCAATCAAACGTGTAGAAACTAAATTATCTGCAACTTAATCATTAAACTTAGTCGAAAATTCCCTCAAAGTCCATTGTCACGTATGATAAAGCAGGAGTTATATCTAAAGCTCGAGGTCAAAGTGACAAATGTAAAAGTCACCGGAGCTGCCTGGAGTCGGAGGCAGTTTTAATGTAGCCCATATCCAGCAGAGTGGAAAAGTAATCTCCTCCTAATATATGCAGCAAGATATTCAAATTACGGGAAGGAGGGGTGGGGAGGGGGTCCATACATCACACCTCATGCCAACAATTTAATTTCTTCCCGGAGCTTCCATATTGCAGGTCGCCTCTGCGCACTTTTCTTATTAAAATCCAATTTTTGGGCTGAAGCGAGCGAAGCCCTTTCCGCTTTCGCGGATGTGTTGTGATGGATCAGGGCCGAAATGGATTAGTTTTGGATCTAAGTTTGTATGGTAAAATATTTAGGATGTTATTTTGGATAAATCCGATTTTTGACTAAATATTAAGTTTAGTTGCTTTGATAGAACAGTTGTATACGTTCAAAGCTGCAGAGATTCTTTTAAAAAGTGGACAACCATCTCCCACTGGCCAAAAATATGTTGACCAAATTTTAAAATCGAAGGGAATTTCAACAAACACACAACAAGTTTGAATCAAGGCTTTACTTGAACTGTTTGGTTACATGGAGCAGTTATATGTACGAAACAACGCTTCACAGATCAAAAAAGTCAACAACCCCCGACTATTCCCCCGGTAAAAAATCGCTGAGCAAACTAAGGAATCGAAGGGAGGTCCGTGACGAATACACTCATAAGTAAATGTCACCACAGAGTATAAAAGCTGCGACAGCGCTCGCCGCGGGGACACACGTAATTACTGCTAATTGTCTAGGTAAGGTCCCCATCCAAGATGGCGGCCGGCCTTATTGATCGCTAATAATAATAAATAGACTCGCTCCGGACCGTACTGGGAAATATTAACATCCGGAACGACGGACTGAAGATTGATTGTCTGGGACGTGCGAACAGAGCTTGCCGAGTGTACACCTGGGCTAGACGTTTATGACGCGAACTGATGAGTTTTATGATTTTTTAGTGTTGACAGTTTAGAGTGGTCTCTTGAGATGAATGAGTAGTTACGAAAAACAGTTAGTGGATGTAGGGGAATCGTTTGGTTGAACGTCCTGATGATCGTGAGCTTTTCAGATCGACAATACCAGATTTTCACGATTTGATTTTTAACCTAATTGTGTTCAACAGTAACATCGTCAACCTATGTTGCTTCAACAAATTGTTTGTAGCATTCGAAAATGACTCGGTTATTAGCTTTCAAGATCGTCAACAGTTTTTGACGATTTGTAGAAATCTCTTTAATTTAATTTGACAGCGATTGCGTCAAATCTAGTTGCTGCAAAGCTGAAAAATTATATTGTTTTCAAAATTACTAAGGACTGAGAATGACATACAAAATGATCAAATATTGAAGTGTAGTGTGTTATAAGTTTTGATATTCAATCGAAGTGCTCATCAGTATATTTCGCCGCAGTATTCTCGTTAATTTTAGTGTTAATTGGCGTCGCCATACGTCTAATCATACTCATTACGTTGGTGATTAATTACTCATTTACCGCTTGGTCGACAAACATTCGTATATACATCAGTTCCATGTATCGCGATCTACATTAGCAGCACAATACCAGGTGAGCTAACTCTGTATCGTCTTTCCCAATTTTGCATCCAACTTCCCACCCTCTAATAATTACTGTATTCTCCTTCCCACTTGTTCGTCCTACCACCCGCATATGCAAATTCCCCCCACCACCTCGCGGGGCAGAGCAGCGCCGGACTGTCTTGAGGAGTTGGAGGGGGTAAGTCCCTCCCTCCCTCCCCACCACCGCGGTTCTCGCGCCTTCACCTTCAGTATGCTGGCAGCCGCCGAGCAGAAAGCATCGCACCAAGCCCTCAAAACGTTCAAACTGCGCAACGAACTTATGGATTTTATATGGAGCTCGCGGGTGTAGTGTTGTGTGTGTGATCAGTGTCAGTGGATGCAGTCTTCCCGCTACATCAACAGGAAGTTACCCTCGTCGATGAAATGTTATCAGGTACGGATGACCAGGAAGGTAGATAGTGTTAGTGTACGTCGCCGGTGTAGAAGTGAGTTGACGAATGGAATAGTACAACAGTGGTTTAGTTCGCAGGGAATATAAGTTAGTTTGTAGTGTAAGAGTTTGTGACCAAATAATAGGGCGCGAAGGGTGTCGAACGCCGCGAGTAGACACTTGTAAAGTTCCCATACGAATGAAACACGCCAACTGTCAGTGTAAAATAATGTTAACCTCACTTTGTAGTTAACAAAGTTTACGTTTTGTACAACCAAAACATCGCTTACCGTAATCGGTAATTAATATCTGGTAATTACTCTATCACTAGGCCAAGGTCTATTTGAAATAAATATGTTTTTGCACATCATTATTTTGAACGTTTGTTCAATCAAAATTCAAACATTTGTGATTTTACATTCTTTGACGTAAAAAAATATATACCTTAGGCTGGTTTGTTTACCTGTGTTTTCAAAGCCGACTCAATCCACAACAGTGCAATGGGATATTTATTTTTTTATTTTAACTTATATTATTACCGGTACATTGTTATGAGTAAAATTTGTGTCATGGTTTAGGCTTTTGAACGTTGTATTTTTGTATAGCAATATTTACATGGTACAATTTGTTAGTAACTTGCTGTGTGTGTTTTTCCACAATTTTTCTAAACCTACCAAAGCTATATTCAATATCTAAATTTCTCATTCACGTTACCACACGCAGACCGCGGCGAATCTATTGGAATCATCTGTTTCTGTGATTCCGGCCGGACACAACAATCGGTACTTCCGCCGCCGTTACCGGTACACATGTATTTCCACAAACTCATTCGGTGTTTATGTTTGCTGCGGACTTGGTTGATGGCGATAGATTTTTATCTTGCAACAAATATCCATCACTAATTAACATGGCGTGTAGCCAGGGGGTGTCGTTTGCATGTTACGGTTAGGCTATTTGTTTGTCCAAGCAGAGGAATATTTAGTTTATTCGTTCATAGAGTCGGTCATTTATAGAAATACTTTAAATTTAAAAATATTTTTTGCGGGTTCCAGAAAATTAAATCTTGGTGTTCGTGTAGGCTAAATTATATTTTTGACTAAAATAATATTTAATACCGGTACAACACCCCCCTGAGACAAACACAAATACTGTTATTTGAATTAAAATATTACGAAATGTTAACTAAACTTACTAGCATGTAAAGAATTTTTTTGTGGTAACTTTAAGGCTTATCGGGCCTAATTTACGCTAACTAAAGAAAAATTTTTGGCATACCAAGTTACCGGACTGCTTAATATTCGATTACACAATTTTAGGATAAAGTTAGATAAAGTTTAGATAAGCCATTGTAAACAATCTATTCTTTACCACGTTTTAGCCTAAATGGCGTTCGGTTAATTTTCCTTTTTTTCATGGCAATGCCATTTACAATTTATAACATTCAGTATAAATAATAGATAAAAGAATGCAAACTTCAAGACTAACTTAGAAACTAGGCTACCGGTATACAACAAATCAACAATTAATTACATCAATACAATTAATCAACAATACATGTAATAGGTATTATACTATGACATTTCAATAACAATATCAATAGTGATTATGAATAACAATGATGATAACACAAATCTATAACATAATTAGGAATTAGTCTATTTTTTCAACTCAGTTCAGTTTTTTCCGGGCTGTATTCATTCAAAGTCTGTCACTTGTAGCCTATTGAGAAAATATGCGCAATCGGAAGGGTCAAATCGATCTGTAAATATTTCTAAACTTCTCAATGCTATTTACAATCACAATGGCCTATGTGTTGGCACTAGGGTGTAGTATCATAGACCCGTGTAGTCCTATTCCGCCCGAGTTTTATTTCGCCCGTAACCTAATTAGTCCTAGTTCGCCCACGGTCCCAGATTAACCCTTATAATCACCAGCTCTACCTGCGTCAGGAGTTCTATTTCATCCACGGAGGACCCCACCCACCCCCAACTATGTAACAGCCCTCCCCTACCCATCACCTGGTTATCCACCTTCGACTACACGGTTATTTAAGCTAAAAATATTTGTTTGACTAATCAAGCGAATTTCCTTTACAGTATTAATGTAAAGTTTAAACACAAAGATATCTGTAAAATATTTACAAAATTTACTGTCCATGTACTGCTAGTTACTGTATGTTTGTATCCCTATCCAAAATGTGCAAATAAGCGATTTAATTATTTAAAATATTGCGCTTAACGTCAAACAGAAACATATGATAACACTGCAATCCAAGACATGGCCAAACAAAGGCCAATAGTTGCTGTTTCTAGTGTTGAATACCCAACTGCACACCTTTGAGTTTTCTTTATTATACAACGTAAATAATTCGCCTATTGGGTTTGATGATGATTGGAGTGTCGAACTCGATCACCATTTGCCATCTTTTGTGTATATTTATCGTCTGGTGAGATTACAGTATAAGAGCACAAATATATGTTTTAAGTGTTATTAGACGTATTTTTTTTTTTTTACTTTTCGTATACAATGTAATGTAGTAGTTTACGCAAGGAATACGTTAAGATAGTGTCATTTACTTTATTTACGCGAGTTGCATACACTACTTTACCTACGACAATATTTCAACTACTTACATCACACTATTCATAACTCCTAAGAGAGGTTATGTTTTCTTTTAAGTTATAAAATCTCATTGCCACTGACAGTGATGCAACGAACCATTGTACCAATGCTGTTTAGTAAATAAACAATGCTGTTAAGAGAATCTTTCCAATTCTAAGAATTGCACTGAAATGGCTAGCCTAAAACTAGTCGTAGGTATTAGTTTATAGTATCGTAGTAATTGTTGTAATTTTATAACAAGGAGTAGAAAGTAAGTCATTACATATTTAATACCATTTTTGAAGTTTGGGATTTATCGAGCACTTTAAATGGTCGATATTATGCACAGACCCACCTTCACTAGTGTTTTGAACGTTACTTTTCGCTACACCACAAAGAATAATTATTTTCTTCATTACATCACCAGTTTGTTGGTTATGCCTTGAATAAAAAGTTAATACTTACTTTCACATAGTAAACATTCTTTGCCGTAGTAAACAATGTAATGAAGAGTTTTCACAGGTGATAAACATGTAACGATTACAGGTGATTTCACAGTAGTGTAGCGAAATAGTATATATATTACGTTACTAGTCCTGAAAATAAGTGTTTACCGGACGAGTGTAGTTGTTCCCGTGCGAGAAGAAGTCGAGCAAGGGATTACCATACGAGTCCGGTACACACATTTTGGACAAGTTACGTACAATAGTTAACACCCTACTACTAAATCTGTACAAATCCTTATAAATTTTCACAAACTTAAGGATTAAAAATCCGTAGTCATAACTTCTAAGAGAGGTTATGTTTTTGTTTATAAACATTTATTGCCACCTAAATACAGTATAATCAGCTGATTGGTGTCCGGTAAAACTCATTACAATACAGTAGTACAGTGTTATCATATGTTTCTGTTTGACGTTAAGCGCAATATTTTAAACAATTAAATTGCTTATTTGCACATTTTGGATAGGGATGCAAACATACAGTAACTAACAGTACATGGACAGTAAATTTTGTAAATATTTTACAGATATCTTTGTGTTTAAACTTTACATTAATACAGTACTATAAAGGAAATTCGCTTGATTAGTCAAACAAATATTTTAATCTTAAATAACCGTGTAGTCGAAGGTGGATAACCGGGTGATGGGTAGGGGAGGGCTGTTACATAGTTGGGGGTGGGTGGGGTCCTCCGTGGATGAAATAGGACTCCTGACGCAGGTAGAGCTGGTGATTATAAGGGTTAATCTGGGACCGTGGGCGAACTAGGACTAATTAGGTTACGGGCGAAATAAAACTCGGGCGGAATAGGACATAACCTCATAGACCGACAATGTGACTTTGCCTATTATTCTAATAGTCTTGGGGCAGCCTATTGCCTAGGTACTTTGCATACACCTGACGGTGCGAGTGTGATACAAGGGTGAGAAGGCGCGTGGCAGTTTTGCATACAGCCCGTGCTATTTGCATAGTGTGGATCGGGACCTATAGTTTGGGGTGGTAAATGTGTATCTTGGGTTAGGTTAGCATAAGCGTGGAGTTATAATGTATGGTTAGGCGAGTAAGTAGATGTTGCAGTCGGTGTCAGAAACATACTTTAGAAGGGTTTAGGCTTATGTAGGTTTACCGACTCATAGGTTAGCGACAAAACAATTAGCCTATGTTAAGAATTTAAGTATTTCTTAAGCTTGACATGAGCTGATAGACAGAAACGCTTATCTAAAGAATCCAACCCTCGAAGTCTGAAAGAATATTATTTACTAAAATTACATTGATTTATTGGCGAATAATGCATTTAAATTTTTACCTAAAAGCAGTAAAAACCAAATGCATAACATGATGGTAGGCAAGATGTATGTAGACCCTATTATAGTCCATAGTCCAAGTTACAAATGTTAATTAGAACGCACATAATTAAGCGGGAGTAAAAATTACGTCTTAGCTATGGAGCTATAATTGAAAAAGTGTCATAACACTCACTTCGATAAGAATTCCAGCTTGAACAATTTGTTCAGCTCAGTGCAGCGGTATCTGATTATTCGAGTTTATTACATGATTTGTATATTAATTTTGTGTAAATTTTAAAGTTACCAAGGCTAAAAGCATAGATTGTTTGTTTGTTCTTTCTGGCAAAACTGTAATCCGTAGAATTAATAGTCTATCAGTGACAGATTTTCAAACAATTATGCCAGGTTTTATCGTAGCCTATAATTTTACCAAACTAATGTCTCAAAAATATTCAAAATCTTACATTTACAGCTAAGTGTAAAATAAGTAATAGTTTCCAACCAGCTTGATTAAGTAATCATCAGATTTGTGGCAATTCCAAGCCTCTTAAGGCGCCCATGTGGCTTCGTTTATTTCTGTATTTGCATTAGTTCGAGAGATTCAGGCAATGTTGA